ACAAACCGTTCTACTCAGTAAAGAAGAAAAAGTAGGCAAACGCACTTTTTTGACTTCTCCACATCAGGTTGACGTAATAATATGTGTCAGTAAAACGCCCTGAAAGCTGGTTACTTTACAACCTTGAGAACGTTCCACCCGTCACTCTGTATGAATTGTGATTGTGTTCTGCTTTTAAGTTTGTTCAGCTATTTTGCATCTCCCCTACCATGGCCCTCACCACCTGTAGGTCATCCGTTGTTCTATTTTGAGCTCGTACATACTTGTCTCGAATGTCCCCGAACGGGTGATATTGGCGTCATCTGAAATTTCTGTTATAAATTTTAAAAAACTAAACTAATGAGCTCACCTTAAAGTATTTTTTCCCTCACCGCTAATGCATTTGACCGAGTCAATGTCTAAGTGATTATTTAGTTCCCATAGTACTAGATACCATTAGTAGCTACTGAAGCGAGTGCATGTATGTTATCAATTTTATCGTCTGCCCAGTTCATACTTGACTGTATTTGTGTATTACACTGCGCAGTCATTATCAGCCTGTCCTTTTTTACATCCACACTTGTACATACCTTTTGTTCTGAGATCTATCTAACTTAGTAAAACGAAATAATTTCCCTGATGTGTACTGGGATTGTAGCCTTCAACAAAACTCTTTTGAATTTCCCTAAGTAGCCGGTTCCGCCTGCATTTCTCATCTACCTAATCTACTGTCGTGAATGTCAGGCCCTGGTCTTACCTTATTCTCTGTAACGCCGTGTTCTTATTCCGCCAGGAACTCCTTATGACAAACAGTCCCTGGTTTATCTTATTGCATTTATTTACTAGACGTTCATAATCCCCTCCCCGTTTGGTATCTTTAGGTCGATCCAAATTATTTGTACAGCTCCCACTGCCGAGTGGACTTAAAGGATATTACACGCCTCGATGGGACCATGGAAGACGCACAGGCTTATGTGGAACAGCTGGGTAAGTGCATTGACGTGTTGCATAATTTTTGTCTACACTGTCTTTACGACTGGTAAGTTAAATTCAGCGGTGTGAAAAATACAGCGGCTGGTTGCTGTACTGTTAGAGCGTTCGACTGGAATGCTTGATGATCAGTCGGTCCGAATTCAATTCGAACCTCGGGTCTCCCGATTTTGTGGTGGATTATGATCACCTGGTGACGACAAATAAGGCAAAGATAGGCATTCCAGTATTCCTGATGATTGTCGTTATTCCTTCTGCGTTGTCCAATGTTCATTGACATGCGACCACCTATGTTAGCTCCTCGAGTCAAAAGTAGGTTCGAATCCCACCTAGGCCGCGAATTGTTCACAATTGGGTCAACTGAATTAAGCAAATCTGCCTAACTCTCTTAACAATTAAGTGAGCCTGATAGTCGTCCTGGTGGATTCTAGATGCTTGCTTAGGAAATATTGCCTGGGCAGCCAGCTTGCTGTTCCGTAATGGTGAATTCCATGCGAGCAGTAAGTTGGGCAAATAAAATCGATCCAAATGTGATTAAATTCCCGGCTCATAGTGAGCCTCGTAGCTAAATGGTAGAGCGTTGGCTGCACAAAAGCCTTCCCTGCTGTGTGGGTTCGACACCCACCGAGGCCGCGAGTTTTTTCACAATTGGGTCCACTGAAAGAAAAGTGAGCAGGTATATCCCGTCCTGCAACTAACGCAGTTGAACCCCACTCTCTCCACGTTCATTGCTGCCAGGCATTCTCGTGTATATTCCGCCCGGTTACTTTGACCTGTCCGTGCTGGCCATGAACAGTCAGGTGTTGTTTTTGCCTATCCAGTTGCACGCACGTACCCAGCGCCCATCTCTCATACAATGTCCACATTCTGATGAAGATAACCATCTTCAATTGCGTCTGGCGCAATATCCTGCTGTAGGTGTGTTTCAGCATTTTTTCTCGCACAAGTTTTCATCCCTTATATTTAATGACCCGCAAATATAAAAGAGGCAAAAGTAAGTATGTTTTCCCCACGCTAGTAGACGTTCTCACCTAGGACTCCCGCTTTTCCAAGATCGATGGTTTGCGGCGCGTTTCCCAGGCAACCGTCACTGAAGTCTGGTCGTTGAGTAAATTCCTGCGGTTCCATTAGATGAATAATCTTCTCTTTACATTTTGAGCATTCTCCTCCCCAGAATATGTCAGTAGTATCCGATCTTCCTTTTTTATTTCTGGATTTACATCTACGTTATGTACGTGGTTTGAACCACTTTTATGCTCTGACGCGCCATCCGGTGAAACAGTACGGAGTCTGGGATATTTGCTGTGGCCTATGTGTACACGTGATACGCTCGTCCATCAGTACTTCCTTTCTCATTAAGACTGCAGTAGAATGGTTTATTCAGGAAACCGGATAAAACGTCTGGCTGCTATATGGGCACCATCCTAGTTCACTAATCGAACTAACTGAAAAATCGGGATTTACAACCTACTCAGCTGGCAACATTGCTGCAACGAAAATCAAACTGATTGTCTTCTTCAGGTCTGCCAATTTAGTAAAATTCGACTATCTTCCTTAATTCGTCCATGGGGGCTGTTAAACAGCAAAGCTTGCTGTGTCATCGGTGCCGCAAACTGACTCACAGGGTTCGCAACGAAGACAGCGCAATGACTTTTCTTGTAAAATAATCGATTAGATGGTCTGCAGAGGCAAAGCCAACCGATCACCTAGATAGGCTCCTCTCATGGCTAACCCGTTCCAAGCCCATTCTTGGTTTTCCCACGACTGCCTAAATCGAATTTCGGAGATTGGCCGCGTCTCTCTCTCGGTCCTTCTTGTGCGTATCGTGTTTATCAAGCTTCTTCTGGTCAGACCTACTTCTCGTTTCTCTTAGCCGCATGACGCTTGATTTTGCTAAATAAAGACGTTCTTTTGTCAGCACTGCTGTCTGCATGCCCTAATAGCCGCTGTGCGGCTGTTGACGAGACTCTAAAATGAACCCCAAGGCAGGGCGGGACGACTA